GCATCTGTCACGTAACCGAGTCGTGGGTACTCATGCCATGACTATGCTGGCAAACCGCACTGTTTCGTCACGCGAGCCTAATCTGGGCAACTATGGTCAGCACATCACCAGGTGACGACGCGACGGAATCAATTATTACATCCTCCTTTCCCCGTTTCCCTGGCTAGGCATCCCTTTGACGCTCACTCTAACTGTGTCAGTCTTGCGCAATGCCCGGTGCATAACATTCTACGATGATCCCTCGTCGTATTTTGCTCCCTCCTTTTGCTAGTCTTTATTTTTATGGAGCCTCGGATTTGCTGGCTACCTGGCCTGGTTGACGACCTCGACAACGGCCTGGGATTTAGAGGTGACATCGCTGCCGTAATCGACCTGAGGAAGACCCATCATGGTCAGGAGACGCGGGGTGCTAACCAACTCATTGACGGTGACGGCTCGGCCGCAGACATCGGCAAAGGATTCGGCGGCAGCGGCGGGACCGGTTGATAGACCTGGGATCCCCATGTTAGTGGGAAACAGTGCTCTCTCGGCATGGCCCGCGCGGGCGCGGTCAGCAGACAGGGCGGCGCGGGTGCGAGTGCGGGTGCGGGTGCGGGTGGTGGGTGGATTGATGCATTGCCTGCCGCCTTTTTTCTTCTCCTCCATGTGTTTGCTAGTGCTACGGGGCTGCTCTAACCAGATTGCTGCCGGATCTGCTCCGGGTGTTGCACGGGCTCGCCGTTCCGGATGTGGTCGAGCTCGGTCATGATATACCGGGACCTGCTGACAAAGTCCCAGACGTGAAAGAGCCCACGGTGGGGGTTCTCAGGGTTCCAGGCCGGGTGGGCCTCGATGGCTGTGATGAGCTCGGAGAGCCGTTCGATGATGGTGGCCCGGACTTCGGGGGAGGGAAGTTCAGCTGACATTTCGAACCGGGAGTTTGGGCACGATAGAAGAGTTGTTGAGGCAGGATTTAAGGGGAAAGTCCAGGTGAACCAGAACCGTTGTCGAGCGATGCTATAAGCAGACGGAGACAATCACTGGACGAAGGTAGCCGGATGTTAAGGGAGTTGATGGAAATCGAAGACGAAGAGAGAAGAAGGAAAAGAAGTGAAATTTTGGATGCTGAAGCTGGCTGAATTAGCAGTCACAAGGCAAGTTTCCTAATCTGTGACTTGTCGGTGAGGGTAAGCAAGGGTTTGGAACGCGTTGCCGCGTAGATGTGGCATGTTCCCATCGCACAGACTCGGCTGGACAACAAGCCACCGCCTTCGCTTTCAATTTAGGTTGCGTTTGCTAGGGGGGAACCGAGAACCCAGTGGGTCGAAATGGCGGGATTGGGCTGAATGGAGGGGTTCGAGGGGTTGATGGGGTCTCGATGGCTGGCCCAGAATCGAAGATCTGGCCCGATTCTGGAAGCTCAGTTGAGAAGTCGATATGACGAATCTCGGATATGGTTGCACAGATAATGTTGTTGCAACGACAATCAGCCAACCATGCCAGCCTTCGTCAAAACCCCACGGTCCCCGGGCCCCGGTGCAATAAGCAACACGATCTTCGTACTGTGAGCGCGACAAGACTAGGTTGGAATATATCTCGAACGAGGCAACGTGCCTAGTCCTGCCCTCGACGTCCTATTAGTATGCAAGCTCTCGGACTTTGGGTCGGAGACTGGGATCATGCAAAATGTCCGGTGAGAAAAATTATATCGGGCAGCCTGTGAGGCTGAAGCAGCGGAACAAAAGAAGTTGCTGCATAAAAGCTCGTCTCGCATTGCTGTTGTGGGTAAGGTGCTCGTGAGACGGCGCTATAATTGTGCTGAAGTCTGCGGCGAACTCAACCTAGCAGTCTCGAGAGAACTGGATCAGCGCCGACAGTGGTTAGGCCGGGACACTCGGATTCCGCGCAAGCGACCACAAGGCTATCAAGTTCGTGGTGAGGCAGATGACGGCGGCATCGGCACGCAAGGCGTCTGTAGACAGCGGTAGGACCGCGGGCGGCTAGTTGCGTGGCAACAAAAAGGGCGTGATAGCTTCGTTTTAGTGCCCAAAACAGACGTACGCGTTCCGTCAGTAGCCTTGTGCCCCTCTGCGCCACGGCAATGGTTGGGCGAGGCTGAAATCGAGATTGCTGCTCGACGCGTCCTAGACCGTGAAGGGTAATCACGTTGACCAATCATTGTTGAGGTTTGGGGTGTAGTCAGAGTCCCGAGGCCGTCCTGGTTTCCTGTCCGGGACTGCGATCAGCCGTAACCAGGGCTAACAACTGGAACTAGGGTCCATCAGACGACCGAAGGTGACCAAAGAAGTCATGTTGCAGATGCTCTGAGAGATCCGAGACACGACACAGTAGTCGAAGGAAGAAGAGCGACTGCGACAACAGCGACTGCGCTTGTCAGGGCCACGGGGATTGCCTGGGTTCGTCCCCGAGGGCGTTTCGGGGAGGGGATGTGCATAACGTAAGGCAGGGAAGGTACAAAGGGCGAGTGGTGTTGTTGGCGGAGGCAAAAGTAGCGCTGTCATGACGCACTGGATCTGAGAAACGAGGTGCATCTGAGTGGGCGCGGCAGCGAACAGGGCGACGAAAAATGCTGGACCCTGGGCTTGTACGGGCTGTCTGGGTGCGTGCATGGGCTAGCGTCGATGGCTGAACATAAGAGAACGGAGCGGGATCGTTTTCTGCAGTTGCGATCACTTCATCAGAGGCATCTTCGTCCGACTCAACGCAGAGGAAAAAACGCAGTCTCTGTGTGGGAATACGGGCCACGGCCCAAGTTGTTGTCTCCGGTTTCCCTGCTGGAGGAGAGGCGTCCGTCCAATACCGGGTACCGCCCAAGTCGCGGTACTTGTCAGCATGGATTGGGAGTGTCGACGGCGATGCTTGCTGATGTCAGGGTCCTGGGGCTTGCTCGCATCGAGATCTCTGGTTGCGGCCACACGAATTGGCAATGCCGAGAGTGGTAATCCGCCGTGGCTGCGAGATTACTGATTCTGCAGTTCGGTTGAAGTTGGCGAACGGGTATCCATCCCTTGCATTAGATCCGTCCTTCTTTATTACATATAGCAACAACGATGACAGCAATCACAAACCCAAGCCTGCCAGTTTGCTGCGTGTTATCCGCATTGAGATGTACTGACTGAGCTGCTGAAAAGGGCAAGCATCTTCTGTGCTCGAAGCTACGCTCTCCCACCCGCCTGACACTTCTTCGCCTTGCCAGCGAGATAGAGTCTAGTGGCTGCAACACCTCAGAAGCAGCCCGGGCAGCCAGCCGCACATCGGAGGCGGACCGCCGTCCGATACAAGTGTCTTACTGGACGTCCACGAAGTAGTCACGTGGCGTGAAGAGGACGTCTCACTCGATGGATGAGGTAAGCAGCTGCGTTACACTACCTGCCCTAGGTAGGCACCTTCACATAAAGGTACCTTAAGGTATGTGGGAGGAGGGGCTTCCACTGCTCAATGGCGTCATACAGTGTACCGTTGTGCTGGAATCCGACACTTGGAATCACGACTTCCTGGGGCAGCAAAGAGGCGAACAATCAACAAACCAGATGTGTACACGGACAAGTAGTGTAGAGCAGCAGTGCGGCAAGAGACAACATCGAAGGCGATGATCAGGAATGAAGAGACAGTTGCCGAGTTCAGTAATGTACGGTTCAACGTCCCAACCGTACTTGGGCGCTGTTCTCCACAAACCTTCCACTAACCTACCACATCCTGGGTTCCGCCCAGATGGCGGTAGCGTTCTGTTCAGAACAGTGCATCTCCACTGCAATCGCCCCGTTGCGACGGCACGGATTGGTTTAGTGGCTGACCCCAAACAGCAGTTGGTTCGTTCTTGTTACCAGCAATTGATCCGCCCGCCGTTGAGAGAAAATGCGAACAAGCACCTGAAGTCGTGCTAGCGCAGTGCAGCCAGCCGAACGACAAAAGTCAGTCCCCTCCATTCAGACCCGCGGTGTCGTCACAGCTAGCCCAGGATTCGTCTACTGACAACAGGCCGCTAAACCCTTATTCGCCTAGACGCAAGGGGCCCCGTCCAGGGCACTTGGAAAGCCCGCCCATGCGCCCTCGTCGCCTGCCGCCAGAACCTGGGAACTTTGAAGTACCGGTACTTGACAGCTACTTTTTTCTTGGACATCGACATGGGCCGCCGGGTCTGTTGCTGTCCGGGGGTGGCTCTCTTCTCTTCTTTCTCTCAATGTTGCGCGCGCGCGCGCGCTCCTCCCACTCATCCAGCAGCAGTGCAGATGTTCTTGGGTCTCGACTCGCATGTCCTTCGGCTGGCCTCTTGTCTCTGGGATTGGATTGGATGGCCACCGGCCTCGCTGGCCTGCTCATCTCTGAGTACCCCTGCTCCTGTTCTCTCTACCTACTCATGCTCCTGCTCGCAGGCCCCTGACCTACCCTTCTCGAATTTCATTGACCTCATTGCACGGCCACACCCTCCCAGAAACACCCCTCCAAATCCACTCAGACACCCAGCGGATTGGTAACAGGACGTTAAATGTATGACGCCTGCCTGCGAATCTATTCCATTGTTACTTCGCGCTTCAAACGTACTCTTCATATACTAGCCACGCCTACCCGGTACATGCATGCCAGCACTCCTCCAACATCTAGCTCCGGCCCTCGGTCAACTAGCTTCGCCGGCGCCCCTTCACCTGGCCGCTTTTGATCTCGTTCAGGCGCATCATGAGATCCGCTCGTTTCTGGAACCACTGCAGCTCTGATGATCTCGCATATATGACCCCTGGTCGCTATCCCCCCGTCACTTCCCTGCTGTTGGACCACTCATACGTCCAAGAGCTTACCGGAAAAACCACCACGAACAGTCGTCTGCTTCGGACGCTTGGCGACAGCACGCATAGAAACACCGAGAGTTTTCCACAAGAGAGACTCTAGAAGAAAGACACGGCAAGGGTCAACTTGGAAGTAGAGGCTACGAGACGAACCGAAACCCTCCCAGATACCCCCGAGACGAGTTGCCCGCGCCAGCGCCGTGCTGGAGGAGACGCTTCATGTCCTCCGACCAGCCCCGGGTCGTCGAGAGCAGACCATCGGCCTTGACGTCCAACCCGGTGCACGAAGCCGAGGACGAAAAGGACCATGGCACTGTTGAGCGCCCTCTGCTGGCCGATCAGGTTCGAGATGTTATTCGCTTGATTCAGTGCCGGAAGTGCTCGCGCCCGCTCCGAGAGCCCGTTACATTCCCTTGCGGCAGAAGCCTTTGCAGAGAATGCCTCCCCGAGACGCACGCCCGAGAAAACATATCATATCCAGCCACACCGGGCAGATTACAAGGCTTCGAATGTCCCTATCCCGGTTGTGGTCGCAACCATGCGGTGGGCGATTGTGGTGTCGACGTTATCCTCACCAAGGCAGTCAACAACTTCAAAGCAGAGATTGAGAAGGCAAGGATGGCGGAAACAGTCGCCGAAATTTCTTCACACATTGTCATACAACCACCAAATCATGGCGATAGCAACACGAAAGAGCAAGCCCATGAGACAACGTCGAGGGTCGTCCGTGGGGGCCCGCTGATCGCGGTTTACACACTTGCTGAAGGGGGCGATTTGGACTACAACTCTGACATTGCCTTTGCTGAAGTATCTTCCCATGGTGATGAGGCAGCTGCTCTAGACACTAAGACCTTCTCCAAAGTCAAGGAATCTGTCAGGACAGAAATGGACTGTCAGGTCTGTTATGCCTTGTTTTACGACCCCTTGACGACGGTCTGCGGCCATACCTTCTGTCGTTCATGCCTGCATCGGGTTTTGGACCACTCGTCATACTGCCCCATATGTCGGAGGGGCCTCTCTGTCAGTCCTTTACTGTACCGGGAATCTTGTCCGTCAAACGAACACCTCAAGACTATCATTCAAACCTTTTGGGCCGACGCAGTCCTCACTAGAGGCGATGCCTTGGCTGCCGAGGCATTGAACAGACATCGGGAATTTGACATCCCGATATTCGTTTGTACGCTTTCATTCCCCATGATGCCAACATTTCTCCATGTCTTTGAGCCACGATATCGACTCATGATTCGGCGAGCACTCGAAGGCGATCGAACCTTCGGCATGGTCCTTCCACAGCGGCCGCGCACGGCCAACGACACTCATTTCAAGGAGCAAGGTACCTTGCTGCGGATCGTGAATGCGGAATATTTTGCCGATGGCCGTAGTCTTATCGAAACAACTGGCATCTCTCGGTTCAGGATCACAAGACATGGTATATTGGACGGGTACCTGGTAGGGAAGATTGAGAGGATTGACGACATATCCATTGCGGAGGAGGAAGATCTGGAGGCGAGTGAAACCCAACTAGCTCTGGAAAGATATGAGAGCGCGAATACACATCAAAGCGAGGACTCGACGACAACGCCCTCTATTACAATCACACCCGAAGATCTTTCGAAGATGCCAACGAGCGAGCTACTGTCGTTTGGCGTGTCATTCGTTGAGAGAATGCGGCAACAAAGCGTGCCTTGGCTGGCACAACGGATGCTAGCAATCTATGGAGAATGTCCCAATGACCCGGCACTATTTCCTTGGTGGTTTGCCAGCATCTTGCCTGCTAAGGAGTACGAAAAGTACAAATTGCTCGGCACGAGGAGTGTCAGAGAGAGACTCAAGATCTGCTGCGGCTGGGTCTTGGAATGGGAGTCAAGTAGATGGTAAGTGTCCCTTGCCCAACTCAAGCTTTCCTTTGGCAGTCATCCCTGCTTTTGAGTTTGATCGCATCTTTTTAAACTTCACTTCGGTTCAAACTCCCCCACGGGGTTGAGGCTGAATTGGAGATGTCGCTGCCCCCGTTTGCTTGTTATCAGACAATGAAACAGACGGGCTAAGGTGCAGAATCTCTCAGGGGTGCCCTTATTGACGGCCGCTCAGGTCCCTCTCAGACTGCAGAATCTTCTGATGCTGGGGACTAGTCCAGCCAACGGTACTGCATGTCATACGCGAGTGGCCTAGGTGTTTTATGCCGGCCGGGGCCAAGGAAGCGACAGGGGCTTGCGGGCGCTCTCTGTGCCATGCCTCTTCAAGGAGAATATATATAGGAGGATGAACATGTTTTCGCATTTGCATGGTTGCATCGGTCATAAGCTAGGACACTTCAACGCATTACATCATGATACAGATACCAAAATTGGGCTATGCAAGTATGCTACTAGATAGCTATGTCTAATGCAAAGTCGAGGACCACTGCAATCTCGGTAGCGAATCATCGCTCTTCACATTGTTTTCACGTTGTTATGATGTGGCGCACGAAAGGCATCCGCAGTTTCCAGAAGTCAAGACAGGTTACATTTATCTGCCCTTTGAGAATGCCTCTAATAAGACATACCAGACAAGTATAGAACTCCTGCGTTGTTTGGTTCAATCATTACTTCAATACGAGCTCAAGTTTTTGTTTGATGGCATATGAGCCAGAGTTGGGCGGCATTCACAAATCTGGAGGCATTGGATATTATGTCCACGTACTTTGGGAGGCGAAATGACGTGCGGGATGGGAAAGAAACAGTGGCTGGCGCGTGAGTTACTCTTTCCCAACACTTCATCAGTCTGCTCTTTCATGCTACTTTAATCACTGTCTAGGTAGGTAGGTCACGTCGCTCTTACCTTTTCTGTCGAGAACTAATCAGCACCTTCCTGGCCGAGTGACAGACGAACTCTTTTTTCGTTTACCCATTGAAAAAAAGAAAAAAAGAAAAACATGCTACTACATACCACGCCTCTTCCCACCTAACCTCGACACTTCACACTCTGCACCTCACCACCACACGGTGCATCGTGTTCGCCCATAATGGCACCCAAACGCAAGCGCAAGGTCACAGCCAAGACAGTGACGGCCAAGTATACCAAGACCTCGCAAGCCGCCAAGGAACCTGCTGTGGCCTGCTCGATAGAGAAGGGTGTCGCCAGTAACTATCTCCAAGTATTGCCTGCAGAGGTACGTGTGAACCTCCGAAACTGGGACAAGACAGACTGACCCGACGTGCAGATCCGCCTGATGATCTACTCTTTGGCAGTAGTACAAGACGATCCCATTCGGCCTGTCCAAATCGAAGACAGATCCAACAAGTTCAAGACTGCTCCACTGCTGCCCAAATCGCGACAACAAGCAGTACGCACCTTTACCAGCTTGCTTCTAAGTAGTCGATTCTTTTATGACGAAATCTTAGCCCACCCGTTCTTCTACAAAGTAAGCCAATGCAGAGCTTGGCGTTGGCGCTATACTGACATGGTGTCAGGAAAACGAGTTCGCCTTTCCTTCAGTGACATCGTTACACATCTTCCTTTCGGCTCTGACGCCAGCTCGTCGCTCTTCGCTATGCCAAATACGCCTCGGCATCATTTCGTGGTGGGGGGTTTGCCTGAACGGAGAAAAGGCTGTATCACTGGCAGCAGATGTGTTGTCTCAATGTACCTCGTTGCAAAGTCTGAAGATCGACATCGGCATCACCACCGGCATCTTGTATCCGACGCCAGCGACATGGTTCGCAAACCGTCGACAATCGGGGCCTACTTCCTGCATGATCAGTCCCAATTCCAAGCCATGGGCTGCACTACGACGCATTAGGAACCTACGGCACTTTGACGTGTCATTGCGGTGCCGCTTCTGCGAAGATTCTCTTGTTGCTGGCTTGATATCGGGTCCTGTTATCTGCCAGAGCCATCAATTCCACAAGGACAGAAATAATCTGGAACAGGAGATACAACTTCTTCATGTCGCCTTCTTGGAGATAGCAAAAGATGTCTGCACAAAAAGTGCAGCGATCCCTGTGAGCGGGAGGCGGCTGGCAGAGGTCCTGGCCGCTTCAAGACTCGACTTTTATGGTGAAGATAGGGTCCGGCAAGATCTACAGGCCGGCATGGTATCCAGCAGGACTCGAGGACGGATGATGCGTCTGGAGACCGCAGGCTCTACTAATGGGGTTATACCCGGTGCCAAGTTTAACCCCAAATATCTTGAGGTGGATGAGTACCAGGGCGAGGAGGACCAGTAAGACGACAAGACAGAATGAGGACGAGGGTCAAGACGATGGTACTAAGAGAAATGATTGGGCAGTGCCGCAGATAGAGATAGGGATACCAGATGAATAACGACAGCCGTATCTGATACCAAAGGAGCCCTCAGGATCCGATGCCATTACGAATATGAACGAGGCAATGCTTCCATAGTGCCGTGTATGGAGATGGACTCTTTTAGCCAAACTCGAGGCAACTGCTCCATGAGGCACACTACCGGCTTCCAACACCGTCCTGAACCTCTGCCAAGATCCAGGTTTTTTCGCATTGCGTACTGCGAGGCCACCCACAAACTGTAAGAAACACACTTGGCCAAAGACGCCGACACTCCCAAGCAAAATAAAAGACCTGTCTCGTGGTGGTCACTGTATCCCAAAGAAGGCATCGTCGAACTTGCCGTGCTCCATCTCCGTCATATCGCCAAAGTACATATCATCGAAGGTGCTGCCGTCTCCACCGTCGCCGCCCATATTCATGTCGAGATCCATTCCATCGAGACTCGTGTTGCCATCGAGGTTGAAGAGGTCGTCCAAGTTTGTTGAGTCCTGCTTCTCCATTTTGCCTTCGGCAGGCTTCTCCTGGCCGGCTACCGCCGGTGTCGGCGCACTTGCTGCCGGCGCTGCTTGTGCTTTGGTGTCGGGTTTGACGTTGTTGGCATTGTCCGGCGGGAGCAGGTTGTCGAGGGACAGGAGATCGCCGCCCATCTCGCCAGAACCGAATGACATATCCATGGCGGCGTCTTGAGACTGGGTTTGGCCCTGAGAGTCGTTATTTGGCGGGGCAAGACTGAATGTCATGTCGGTGAAGTGGAACTCCGAGTTGCTTCCTTCCGCGCCGCTGCCGCCCGCGTCTCCTCCCAGGCCGAATAGATCGTCCATTGGGGCCTCGGGGGCGCCAGACTGCGGAGGCTGTGTGGCAATGGGTTCCGTCTTTACCTCGGGCTTCACGTCGCCCATGGGCGCCATCATAGCCGGAGGGGCCGGTGCCTGCTCCTGCTTGATTGCCTGCGCTGGCTCTACCGGCGGCTGGAAGCTGACGCCCATATCGGGAAAGGGGGCCATCGATGGAGCCGCGCTCGGCTCTGCGGGGACCCTATGCGGGCCCGAAGCTTGTGTGAGCTGAACCTTTTGGTCGGGAGACGGCTCCCTGGATGAGGAGTCGAGGTCGATGGCCATTGGTGACTTTGTCTGCGCATCGACCGGGGCCGGTTGTTGAATTGGTCGTCTTGCCTCCTGTATCCTGTCCAGATCCCTCTGCAGAGCTGCCTTTGCTCTGATCTGCCGCATTGGTCAGAGAAGACACATCCCGATTTGACCGAATAACGACTCACGATTTCGCTCTCCAGGTCATCTAGCTTCCAGTGGAAGCTTTCAATAATTTCCGGCATCTTTGTTTGGAGGGAAATGTGAGCCTGAAGCTGGTGCTTGCCATCCTTACCCCAGGCTTTCAATGCCTTTCCTGTTTGTACGAGCTATAAAGAAAAGGAGCAAAGTAAGCAGTAGTCCTTCCAATCAGTCCTGATAGGTGCAATTAACCGCGTCATTAATGAGCCCCTGAAGAGCCTCTGCAGAATCCATATCGGCCGGCTTCGAGGTGGCCATCTCAGTGGGATGTACCGGCCGAGCCCCGGCTTATGCGGCCAGGTATACAAAAGCTGTTCGAGCTGGTTGAAAGGGCGAGAAGGATGAAGGGTCTCGTGGAAATCGGCCTCGTCAGGACGAGATACGTTGACAAGTCGCTTCGATGCTTGAATTGATGCCTGAGTTGATGCCAAACCAAGGATTTTGGCACGCAGATGTGGACATGAAAATGGCGTCCTCAGTGAAGCCGTGTTCAACACAGTGACAGCCCGGGCCCCTAACCTGCTATGACAATGACTGAGAGTGAATGTGGTTGCTGCTGATCGCTGTAAGTGACACTGATTCGGCGGGTCATCAATGTTTGATGTCGTTTGAAGCTGTCTACTGCCAGCCTCCGACCACCCACTGGCGTGGATACGTACCGCACGCAGGGACAGAGAATAACGGAGAGGCCCGAGCAAACAAGGTGGGTCCAGAGCCGAGAGACTGTAGCCTCAGGCTCACAATGGCTGTAGGTCCGCGCAGTTGCGCTAACGCACCCGCTGTTGAGCTCTCTCAGCGCCAACCTATGGAAAAAGAAGTGACCCTGGCAGCACCCCGCGCACCCAACACGGCACGGGTGTGGACGCAGACGTGGGATGTTTAGGCGGGCAGGCGGGCAGTTGTACTGCGCGGACTTTCAACGCCTTGACGCCATAAGGTATCGACCGTACCTTACCTCAGACTGGTAGGTAGGTACCTTCCCTTTGGTAAGGCCCTGAAGGCACCTAGTTATGGGAGGTACCTTAGGCAAGCACCGTACCTCCGAAGGGCATTTCCCCTCGCCCGCTGTTTGGTTGTGTCTCTCGTCCCCCACACTTGCTTTCCATGCATCAGATCAAAATCTTGGGACGAAAGGCAATTGAAGGAAGGGGGGGGGCTTTCAGTCGACTTGAAACATGGAAATGCCATGTGGGAAGCTCGTGTCTTGGTTCCTAGAATCTGAGGCTAAGGGCCACCGGCTACGCTCATGTGAGGATCTCGGCCCATTTCAGCGTAACGGCGTGTTCCGACCTGTATCGTCTGCTTTTGCCCAGAAACGCTCTCTCCCGCATCCGTACCATGCAACTCGCTACAGAACGGCTAGTGTTAGAAGCATGAGCAGCCTCGCGCGGGGATGCTAGACCCCAAGGAGGGAAGCAATCTGCCTATCTAGCATACGCTCGATAAAAACCAATCAACTCGATGTCTTTCCGGGATGCAAAGAAGAGGTTCTCAGATGTCGTTGAGGGGGCCCGTTGTTGCGGATGGGTAGCGCCCCGGGAAGGTAACGGTAAACGGAGGTATGGGTAGCCCTATCGCCGACGCGATGCAGTGGATTAACTCAGCTGATGGTGTTCGTCCCATCCGTGCCGGGAGCCCTTCTCCCGGGAAATTGGTCGTGTCCTGCAACACAGTTTCGTAATCCAAACCCTCGGTCGTCGATGTCTCTTTCTTATGCAACATGGGCTTGCTGCGAATTTCCTCTAGTGGGAGGTGTCGTGAGGCTCAATGGCCACTAGAAGCATCTTGCAATCTCCTAACCCCATCTAAGGTAGTGCCAGCGGATCCCTTTCCTTCTTATATAAAGAGCCGTCTTTCTTGGACACTAGATGTCCAGCATCGCCATGCGGCTCCCAATTGTTCGTTACTCGATCGTAATGATTGTGGGGATGGACAAGGCAGTAGTGCGAGAAAAAGGTAAGTGATCGAGGTAGGACCAGGAATATCCCATCTTGACGGAATCGTTCGATTTTGTGAGGATTCCATCATTTCTGCACTAGTTGTTAAACCCCTTCCTATATCGACTTGTTTGCAGCCAATGTTGGATGCGGTGGCCGGGGCTTCCATTGACTCGAATATTGCTCGTCAGCTCACGCATTTCATGCCTCATTCGAGCTCATCTTATGGTGCTTCTTAGCGGTTGGCGTCCTCATCTAATGTGACGCGTTTGAGCCACCGCGAATAGCCGACCCCACATATACTATGCGATTCATGCTGTCTATATGCGTCGTCTTATGGCCACCCTCACGGTCTTCAGTACAGTGTGTCCCCGAGGAAGCCAGTTGATTATGGGCAAGCAAGTCGCCGTCGCCATCCCAAGCGGCGGGCTGTCGTTGACAGCTGTGCGGCGTGTCTTCATGCGATGCTGAAAGTTCCACATTGTCAGTGTCAGTCAGTGGCAGTGGGTGGCTTCATACCAGAGAAAGTCTAGTGTAGCGTTAGTCGCTTAGGCTGGATCTATCTGTTGCAGCAACACCCCTTTTTTGCTGCCATCCCATCTGCTCACGCCACAAGCCCTGACCTACCGGGAAGCTCGACCCAAGTGCCCTCGACATGCGGGGCTCGGCGTTGAGTGCGCGATACGACAAGTACAGTGTACTCAACGTCGGCGGCAAGCAACAAACAGACGAAGGAGGTAAAAAGCCCACGCCGCTGAGTGACCAACGACGGGCACCCGGGTTTAGGAGCACCACCCTGGGCTGACTGGGAATAGGGGACAGCTGTGTCCATTGGACAGGCTCGCAGGACAGGCAAATGCCTGGCACTGGGCTGGGCTGGACGAGACCTTCAACGGACCAATCTTGTCTTCTGGGGCCGGTGGTGGGGATTGAAGACCCGTCACATCCATATGCTGAAATCTGGAAGTGCGCTTAGAGGAGGTACCTATTGTTGGAGGAAGAGTGCAGCTGTACTCAGGTAAGTTAGGCAGGCACCCGGTAGGTAGGTAAGGTAGTACCTTGGACAGCAGGCAGGTAGGTGCCAGGTGTGATGCTGCGCGCGCTGGTGCTGCAGCACTCGATCCTCGTCCAATTGCACGTTGAGGAGGACAGGATATGCACCGGAGGCGCTGGGAATTCTGGCTGCACACTTTGCATCCTGCAGGGCTGCGTGGGCAAGCAAGTACTCATGTGAGGCCAGGTAGGTAAGGTGAGTATGTGTGCAGTGAGCTTCGTGGGCGAAGGAGGTACGGATACATAGGTAACGTAGGTATGGGTAGTATAGACAAGACGGGCAAGGCAATTTGGTGTTGGGTTGTTTAGTGCTCCAATCCTGGGATGATGAAAGTCCCCTCATTGCCCGCCTTCTTCTCCCTCTTTCCATACCTTATGCTCCCCTTCCCCTCCGCCAGCCAGCCCCCTCCCCATCGTAGAATCTCCTCTCCTCTCCTCCTCCTCCTCTTCCTCCCCTCCACGTCCACCAGCAACCTCCTCTCCCGTCTCTCTCCTCGGATCGGTTTTTGTCGTAATTCCCTTCAGGGGTTTCCAGTCCTCTTCTTTCCTGCCTGTTTCCTTGGTGCTCGTCTCCGCTCATCATTTCAAGTCGTCTAACACCACGTACGCCACAGCTGGAGCTACCACCCGCAGCAACGGCCGGTACAGCAAGCACACAGCACACAGCACAGTCCACTCAAAGTACTTTGGAGCTTCTCAATCTCGGCATCTCTCTTATCATTCGCCCTTCCCCTTGTCTCTCTATCCGCTTAAGCGTCTGCCTCTCTCTCTGTCTCTTGTCCTGTCACGTTGGGTCGACGTCCTTTTTAGCTGCCACTGCTCATCCCGTCTCCACGTCCACATTTTTTCCAAGAGACTTTCGGCTGCCTTCCACCTCCAAGCCAGAGTCAACTCACAAGTCGTTTGACCCAGACCGCCAAAAGCCTCGACCTCGACCTACCTTCTGGCACTGGGACGAGTCGACACGCCAACAACAACTCGACTCCTCGTCCTAATTGCCCCCACCTCTTTTCTCTCCCTCTCGCTCTTTTGGCCTTGTTGCTTTGCCTTGCGTTGGGGTTCTAGGGTCACGTCAGACATTCGGGGAACACTCTTCAGTACCAACACCACCACCACCACTCCCGCCCCTCCTTACGCCACTACCCAGCTACGAAAAATCGACCGCCTGCTTTTCGAAACGACGAGTTCGCTGCTTCGCTGTTCCAACCGTCAGATTGCGCAATAGACTGCTCCAGACTTCTGCTTCTTGAGGTTTCTGACTACTTGCCCTAATATTGCTATTGACCGTCAGTACACACGAAGTCGACGCTGCTCCAATCAATCTCTCGAGATCCAAATCGTCGCGCGATCGCATCCTAATACCGAACGAAGAGACAATGGCCGACAACGGTGTTCCCAACGCGGCGCAGTTGCCCCCTCCTCCTCAGCCGAACGCCGGTGCGCCAGGCTACGAGAATGGTCAGAACGGCCAGTCCAACCCGGCTCATATGCCGCCTCCGCCTCTGCACATTCCCCAGAACACCAACCCGATTCCGACTGCCGTCACATCGCCTCTTTCTGGCGTTGACAAGATCATGTCGCCTAGCAGTGCCGGGGGGTTCGGCCGCCGCGCAGCTCCCGAGCCTAACAAGCGGGCGCTGTACGTGGGAGGCCTGGACCAGCGTGTCACTGAGGACGTTTTGCGTCAAATCTTCGAGACGACGGGCCATGTTCAGAACGTCAAGATTATTCCCGACAAGAACGTGCGTATTTGATCCGTGTGTACACTGTGGGCGGAGATGCTGCTGGCTCCGATGAGTTTGGCGTCAGCTCTGGAAAAGCCTTCTGCTTCTCCTTGGCCCTTGTTGGAATATTTGCTGACTTTGCGCCAAAGGCAAAGGGCTACAACTATGGCTTCGTTGAGTACGATGACCCTGGTGCCGCTGAACGCGCCATGCAGACCCTGAACGGAAGACGTGTTCATCAATCCGTATGCATTGCCTAACCCCGCCATGCCACTCGGAAACTGACCAATTCAAAGGAAATCCGAGTCAACTGGGCATACCAGTCCAACACCTCCAGCAAGGAGGACACATCCAACCACTTCCACATCTTTGTTGGCGATCTTAGCAACGAGGTCAACGATGAGGTTTTGACGCAGGCATTTTCCGCCTTTGGTTCTGTCTCGGAGGCCCGTGTCATGTGGGATATGAAGACCGGACGATCTCGTGGATACGGTTTCGTGGCTTTCCGCGATCGACCTGATGCCGAGAAGGCTCTGAGCTCCATGGACGGTGAGTGGCTCGGCTCACGCGCCATCCGTTGCAACTGGGCAAACCAGAAGGGCCAGCCATCCATCGCACAGCAGCAAGCCATGCAGGCTATGGGCCTGACCCCCACGACGCCGTTTGGTCACCACCAGTTCCCGGCTCACGGCGTTGCCAGCTACGAGGTTGTTCTGGCCCAGACGCCGTCGTGGCAGACGACCTGCTATGTCGGTAACCTGACCCCCTATACCACCCCCAATGATGTCGTCCCGCTTTTCCAAAATTTCGGCTATGTCGTCGAGTCTCGTTTCCAGGCCGACCGCGGGTTTGCCTTCATCAAGATGGACAGTCACGAGAGCGCGGCCATGGCCATTTGCCAAATGAACGGCTATAATGTTAATGGACGTCCTCTGAAGTGCAGTGTAAGCTTGGATCACCCCAAATCGAATTGGAGAAGCAGCATTGACGTTCTTTTGTGAAGTGGGGCAAGGACAAGACTCCCAACCCTCAAAGCGCTGGCTTTGACCCCTCCCAGCAGGCCTACAGCCCGCAGAGTGCTTCCGGACCAGGCTACCCCGGCACCCCGACGGCATACTTCCCTCAGTATGGTGGTATGTGCTCGAACTCGGACTAAAGCTCGCGCATCGGTTGGAACTAACAACATTCTCATTCAGGTCAGTACGGCGGTCAGCATGGCAACTTTGCCGGCCCGACTGCTCAGTCCCCGGCCGGTTACGGAGCGCAGCCGATGGGATACGGCGGACCCCAGAGCGCAGGAGGCTACGGTCGTGGTCAACAGCCACCCAATGCCCAGTGGCCCCAGGGTCCTCAGGGACAGAACTTCAACAACGGCTTCGCCGGATACCAGGGCTAGATGTTCGAAACGGCCTTGGTGGAAAGCCAGAGCGTATCGCCTTGCGTGTTGGCTGAAACGAGCACATCTCTCTGTCTCTCATGCTTGCGCGCATACACAGCGATTGCCGGGATTTAGGGGTATCTTTGAGGAGTTCTTGATGTTTCTGGTGGCAGAAATGGCATGACCAACACATCTCCCATGTTTTCCAAAAAAATCATTTCTTGCCAAGGCGTCTCTCTATCTCTCTGTCTCTCCTTTCATCTGCGATGAGGGACATGTGTCGGTTTCTCTTGTGTGAGCACTGGGAGTGCGATGGGGCCATCATGTGCATTTTCCGGAATGCTCTTTACTACGTCTTCGTATTTTCCTTCTACGGCCTTAAGTGATTCCCACAAAGTCACAGATATTTCTTCTTCTTTCCTTACGCGGTCATTTTCTCTCAACCTGTCGGGGTAAGAGGCAGACTCGATATGCTGTTCCGTTGACATAAAAGTTTGCTACTTTCTGTTCTCTCATGGATACCTCTTCAGCATGACGGATCTGTTGGATTGACGAGCTTATGACACAACTTTCTATTCTTATCTTTTCTTATGGACCCAAAAACATTTCATTCTCACTCATGCGTGTGTGGTCCCAGTTACTTGGATCACGCTCCGGCCCCCTCCCCTCCCCCTTTTAGATATGTACGAACCAGAATCAGACTGGAGAAGAGAGGAGAGGTGCAGATTGGGGTTGCTGCGATGTTTGTGTTGGTTAGGAAGTATGGAAGGCGACAAGCGATTAGCGAGTTCGGAGTGTGACGGGATGGAGAAAAGGTTTGAAACAACGAGAGAAGAAATTAAAGAAGAACATTGCAAGACATTCGCCGGATCTCAAGGCGGGCTAGCGATTGATGTTGGAGTGCATGGTGAGATTTACATGAGAGCATTTGGATTGGTTGAGTGGATGGTGCAACGTCCGAATGTTGCCTTTCAGCGCGAGGGACGCGAAAACTTGCCACAGATGCTGTTTGGAGCCAACTGAATGCCGCAGAGACTCCCCGTATGTTGGAATCTAATCATCGTGGCACACCGATATCCTGGATAAAAGACAGCCACCCAAATCTAGCCTACCCATTCCTTCCCGGAGAACCCTGCGAATGACGACACAAATGGGCAGGGGAAGAAAAAAAAGAAGAAAAAAAAAACCCAGTGAGAGAGACGCTGACCAGCAGTTCCGAGAATGACATGTCGTCATCTGCAAGGCCATCACTCCTGCCAGTTCCGCTGATGTGTTTTTGATGTACAGCCCTCTAGCAGATATCTTGAGAAGAAAATAAAGCAGATATAGATATGCGCTTTTATCTGATGCCCACTGAGTCAAAGGGGTTCTTGAGGAGTCGTTGTGATGTTGTATCTACTGCTGTTGCCCATGTCATAAAAGTTACCCCCAGCCCACCTTCTACCTTGCCAGTCAGGTAAAGTAGCGAGCCAGGCGAGGGTCAGACAGCTTACGTAGGTACTGCAGTAGCGCAGAGCTGCGGCCCACCTGCAGGAGCTTCTGTCTTTTTGGGACGACTCGGCTTTGAATTTTTCCTTGATTCTTGGCTGGGAGGTTGAGTGACAAGGAGCTTGAATGACATTAGGGGCGAAATGATGGCCGTGATGATCGGCTCGCTCTGAGACCGTCAATTGCTCCATGTACGGGCACCGCATTCCGCAGTCATCAGAACTCTGGGAGGTTGTCGCTCTTCGCTTGAAGGGAAGGTACATCGCCATGTGGGGGCATACCTATCTTCTTTTGGTGGCACGCAGAGCAAATTTGGAGGAAGGGCGACAACATCTGCAGCGACGGGGGACTGATGAAGAATCGGTGCGGCCCTTGCTTGTGATATCTCACTACCTTCCGTGCTTCCTTACCTTACCAAGGTCTGCTGTGGACAAAACAAACAAAAGACTCATCTTGTTCAACCCTGCTCTGGCTTCTAAACAGCGGCAGGCTTTCTGACCAAGAGAGAGCCAAGGACCAAGATTGGTCTCTTGGAGCAGCAGGGTTCTTAGCAGACGTCTCAGCTTTCCATTCGAAATGGCAGTATCCGTTTCCTTGCGCTGGGAGCGGATATTCGGAACGTTTGGCACGTCGGGCTGGGCTGGGCTCGGCTTAAGGTAGCTAAAGCAAACCCACATTCGAGTGCTTGAGGTGCTCTGAGCGGCGCGCAAACACATAAGGGACACACTAAGTGCCATTGGATCAGATGCACATCAGTCAATCGTTGTTTCCAGGCCAGACTGGACCCACGTTGTCGGCGCCGTCGTCGTCGCAAAGTCACAGCTAATGAACGTGTCCTCTTCTGAACTGCAAACGCCAGAAGAGACCAAAGGCTACTTTTCAGCTTTCTTCATACCCATGGATTGAAATGCTTCCGTGATGGTGTAGAAGATGGGAAGCTTCCCAGCATCCTGTCCACTCCTCTCCTCCGCGCACCGGCCAACCTGTCCACAACCGGTAGGGAACATGGAAACCCAATCCGAACCTGACGTACCTTTACCCGCGCGGATTTTGGCGCTGCTGCAAACCTCATTGGCCTTGACTTCCAGTATGGCCCGCGAGTGTCCCCGACGCTGCTGCTTCATCGACTCGCGAACCCCACGTACACTTCACACTCGACACCCTTGTTAAAGCCCGCCCACCCGCTTGCTTCGTCTCCAATTCACCACCTCACCTTGGGCATTTGCGCATTGCTGGATGGCCTTTGGAAAGTATCATGAGTTGTCTGACATAGGGAGCTTGACGAGCAGCCGTGTTTGGGCGTCCATCTGCTGGCGTCCACTGCCAGACACGGGCAGTAAGGGCGGGCCCTTGTAATCAGTGTGTGTAAGGTAGCTTAAGGTCAAGCAAAACAACGCTCGCTGCTCCCGTCAGTTGGCATTGTCTGTCGCACAGCGGCAACTGGCCGTGTTCCCCGTCTCTGCGCTGTCCTGCCTGCTGCTTTAATTGCTTGTCGCCTCCATTGTGTTGAGGCTTGCTGTCTCTCTCCCTCTCCCGCTCACACACACATTCTCTCTCTACCTCTCCACAACCAGTCGGTGCTTGTCCACACTGGTTGCGACTGTATTGCTACGGCCGCTCTGTTTTGCAGTGATCATCGTGGCCCGCGGATGCTCGCATCGCATCCTTTCTCTCCCACCACATCCATCACTACCCCCTCCCCCTCCCCCCATTTCACGGCCTTGATGTCAGCTCCTCGTGCTCCTCCACCACCACCACACCACAGCCCCGTCGTCAATCTACGTGGTCCTCCTCCATCTTCCGCAAGCACGTCGGTTTCTCTGTCGCCTTCACGATCACCTTCGTTTCGCAAATCTTGAGACGGGTTTATCACTAAAAGTTCCTCAGAAGAATACTACCGCCAACCTCCTGCTTCAAACTTTATTCCCACGACGAGAGTTTGGGCTGACACAGCCCAATTTCCCCCGAATCTTGTCCTCAGGGCTCGACTGCGGCGACTGCCACGCTCCGGGCTTGGTTTGCATCAGTCTTCGAGCCTGAGCTTGAGCCCGACCACCACGTCCTGCCGCCCGCCTGCTTAGTGCCTTACTCCGAGGTGCTGCGACAAACCCGCCGTCGTCCCCCATCCTCACTATTCCACCCGCCCGCGGCCTTGCCCGCGGCGCAACTCATCGTACCGCATTTCACTGCGCTGAGCAGTCCCCAGCAATAACAGCACACACACATACGCATACACACGCACACGCACATCAGACGCCACACAAGACAGGCCACCCATCCACGACGGCATTGTCCTGGGAGCCTTACATACTTACCTACCTTGCCGGGTCTTGACCAAAGCGACTCGCACTACTGCGTACCTGCGACCTGCCCTCCCAACCTTACCATTCCCAGCGCAGCCAGTCCAGCCCGGCCCCATTTGTCCGCCTAACGCGTGCAGTCAGAAGCCAGCGACGACATCAGCTCAATTACCCGGCCCCGGTCTTCTTCCTTCTCACATCACCGACGACCGCGCATTCGCCCATCTTTCAATCCAACCGATTTCGGTCGACCGTAACGCTCCCTTTCCTCCGAGTCAACATCGTTCCCCCGCCGCCATGGACTCCCAGTGGCAGCAGGGCTATGCCGACTCGGCCGGCTCTGCGAGGAGATACAACGGCACTGGCGCCCAGATGCCCAGGGGAGACTACAACGGACAGCAGGTTCCCCAGGGCCAGCCTCCTGCCGGCTTCAAGTACGATCAATATCAGAGCCCTGGAGGTATCTCTTCTCACACTGCCAGCGCTGCCACCTCCCCCATGTCCACTCCCCAGATGCGCGACGGGAACGGCGACATCCCTATGCACGATGTGCAAGACTCATACGCTGGAATGAAGTACCCGATGAGACCTCATCATCAGTCCCATCTCTCAGGCAGTCGGTCTTCCACTCTGTATTCGTCCCAGGAGCCCTCAGCTGCTGCCCAACGGTATTCGCCAATGGAGGCCCTGTCCCCCACCTCGCCTTACGCGCCCAAGTCCGCACAGAGTCAGTTCGCATCACCTCCGGGACAACGACAGTCCCCGACGAGACAATCCGACTATCTCCCACAGAGCCCCCATTATGGTAGTCGCCAGCAGGGACAGCAGGTCCCCCCCATGTCTCCCTATGCCTCGGGCCATGAGAATTATCCGTCTTCCACTGTCGCCGCCCTCGACAGTGCTTTTGCCGCCGACCCCAAATCACCGCGACGCCCGATTCCTCAGCGAGGACCTGCTCCCGAATTCAGACCATGCAGAGGGCCGACAGACCTTCGGCCAAAGGTCAGCTCGCAGCCTCCTTTCCGCCGCGCCAACCCGGAAGGCGGATTTATCAGTGTAAGCACAAATACCCCGCGATTGCACCACAACCGAACCTTGTTAACCCACTCTGCCAGCCCCTGCAAGCGCTCACGGTGCACCTGCCTGCCACTTACAGGATATGCAACCCGAATTTCAAATACGAATCCTCGCGTAACCCCCGTCGGGTCCTAACGAAGCCAAGCAAGGGCGTGAAGAACGACGGATACGACAACGAAGACAGCGACTACATCCTCTATGTGAACGACATACTGGGCTCTGAAGAAGCTGGTCACAAGTGCGTTTGCAATGAAAAGTGAACGGATACGCGCCGTTTGGATAGTACTGACATGGGACACAGGAATCGGTACCTTATCCTGGATGTTTTGGGCCAGGGCACTTTCGGCCAAGTCGTGAAGTGTCAAAATCTCAAGACTCAAGAGGTTGTGGCTGTAAAAGTCATCAAGAACCGCACAGCATACTTCAACCAAAGTATGATGGAAGTGTCTGTTCTGGATCTGGTGAGACAATTCCGTCGAACTTGACGTGACCCTAGCGCTGACGTTTATTTCCCAGCTCAACACCAAGCTCGACAAGAACGATGACCACCACCTTCTGCGACTCAAGGACACTTTCATTCATCGCCAACACTTGTGTCTGGTGTTCGAGCTTCTCAGTGTCAACTTGTACGAGCTGATTAAGCAAAACCAGTTCCGAGGTCTAAGCACAACTCTCGTCCGCGTTTTTGCCCAACAGCTCCTGAACGGCCTGGCACTGCTGAACAAAGCCCGTCTCATCCACTGCGACCTCAAGCCGGAGAATATTTTGCTCAAGAATCTCGAGAGCCCCATCATCAAGATTATCGATTTCGGATCCGCATGTGACGAACGCCAAACAGTCTACACCTACATCCAGTCGCGTTTCTACAGATCTCCAGAGGTTCTGCTGGGACTTCCCTACTCCTCTGCCATCGACATGTGGTCACTTGGCTGCATCGTTGTAGAGCTGTTTTTGGGACTTCCTCTATTCCCCGGCTCCTCCGAGTACAACCAAGTTTCCCGTATCGTAGACATGCTTGGAAACCCACCGAACTGGATGATCGAGATGGGCAAGCAAGCTGGCGAGTTTTTTGAAAAAAGGCAGGACGAGTTTGGTCGACGAACGTATCAACTGAAGAGCATGGAGCAGTACGCCAGGGAACACTCAACAAAGGAGCAGCCTAGCAAGAAGTACTTCCAGGCGAACACTCTCCCGGAGATCATCAAGTCCTACCCCATGCCGCGCAAGAACATGAAGCAAAGCGAGATCGACAGAGGTGAGCCAGACTAGTTTGGGCAGCCTACGTACAAATACTGACGTTGAGCACAGAAATGAACAATAGAATCGCCTTCATTGACTTTGTCAGGGGTCTATTGAACATTAACCCTCTGGAGCGTTGGTCGCCGCAGCAAGCCAAGCTGCACCCGTTTATTACCCAGCAAAAATTCACTGGGCCATTTGTACCGCCGATGAACCTGAAGTCTAGTTCTCTGAATAGGTCTCCGGCACCAGGGACTCAACAGCAGCAACAGGCTGAGGCTTTGAGCAAGCAAAGGGCACAGGCGGCTCAGGCACAGGCGAATTCCGCCGCACAAGGAGCTTATGCCTCAATGGCTGCACAATACCAGCAGCCGGGACACTCCCAAGGCACCCCGATGTACGCGAACAACATGTACTCTCCAAGTAACGCCCACGCAACTCAACCACCGCCATATGGTGCGCAACAAGGCGGGTATGCGCAGATGCCGATGGCTCAAGCGCCGCAGCAAATGCCACCCGGTCCTTACGGCAATGTTTCCCAGCAGCCCGGTCTCTACCCCCAAACGGGAATGCGGCCCCCTCGTCAACGTGCTTCCACCATGGAGCAGCAGCAGAGTGGTATCCCCATGGCCATTCAGCGTGTGGCTAGTCATCTTGACCCGAGCCAACCCATCCGACTGCAACCCAGTCCAGCGTACTACCCCCCTCCTGCTGACGGAGCTATGGCTGGTATGGACAACACACCTGGTCGGGCAGGCAGACGCGGGAGCCGGGCCCAACAAGGTGGAAGAGGTAATCGGGACTTCATCCGCAACCTTGAGGAGCGAACATTGGAGGAGGGCTTTATGGGTAACCAAAATCCATGGCACTGATTTCGGTTAGATGACAGCCGCACAATCACCTCAAATCTGCGTCTCGATGTCGCCACGAGCGACACCGACATTGACTTGTCGGAAGTGGTCTGCGAGATTAAGAGTCTTCACACTAGGAAAGCCCTGAAATTGACGTGTCCTAGTGCGATGATCTGGTCAGTGTAGAACAAGCCCTGGTCTGCGAGATGGAAGCTGGAATGACGTATGATACCCAAGAGCCTTGAGAACCAACTTGCGGGCTGTCGTTGTCGTATAAGGCCTGTATGCATGGAGGGAGTTGTTGAGAGGCGGGCGTAGCGACATGAGCTGGGATGGGCAATGACACGCAATGCACGGGAGCTTTGATGGGATGATGCACGTGTAGGGAAACGAAAGGCAGGGGCGTTGGGTCGTTAAAGGAAGCGTCTTGCCTGCGGGGAGGCGGACGGCCTCGACGACACTTGAGAGAAGGTTCCTACCTAACAACCTCCACCGTCCTAGGTTCGCACGGGTGTCGGGTACGGCAGGTTGGCTTTTACTCTTGTTGTTTTACTAATGCGGAAGCGATGCCAAAGCCAGCCGCGATGGCGTCTTGACATGATTTGCCACCTGTGTCCTTTCAATACAATGCTGTAAGCGAAGATGGCGCTTGATGGGTCGAAGTGAAGATCATAGGTCAAGGTACCCAGTGAGACGATGTGAACCGGCCTCAGCTTGAATTCCCGGTGGCGGTAGCAATCACGCTGGTCAGCGGTGAGTAGTGCCTTCTGTGTCCACATCTGCACACTATCAAAATTACTATAGCGGTTACTATTACAAGGGAAGGGAAGAGTATGACCCGAGCGCCTTCCAGATTGTTGCTATGAACGCTTCTGCTGTCTTCGAACGCTCTTCCGACACCTCTTCAACCCACTGCCACTACTTGAGTAGCTGTTCGACATCTCTCCATTTCTCCATCTCGTCATCTCTTCAACTCCAACAGCTTTCAACCACAGCTTCACCTTCTTCTTCTTGGCTCCTAGCAATAATAATCTGTAAGCAAATTTCATTCATCGACAAGCTCGTTTAGGACTTCAGGTCTAGCATGGATCACCCGCTTCTACAAAGGAACAAAACATACGGGGATGGCAGTTCGCAGGCCCCCGAACGTAGCCACGCAAGCTCAGTTTCCTCCAGTGACTGTTCTAGTGACCGTCGTTCTTGGCGTAGATGGTGGCCGTCTATCATCTCTGCCAAGCCCAGGATATTCGGTAAACGCAAAGAGTGTGAAAGGGACGGCGAGCCTTCCACGTTTTGCCCTAGTGCTCCGAAGCACGCTGAAGGATGGAGTGCAACTGTCAAGTACAGAGGAAAGGGCATACAAGGTACCATCGCGCTCTACGCCTTGCTCAGTATTGCCCGCATCTAACGCACGCTTTTCGGCAGGAAACAAGGCGGTCAAAAAACGACGAAGCTTGGGCGATGTGATCGACACTCACCTTCATCTGCACAATGGCCTCAGAAGGTATAAATCTCGAAACGAACTCCGAGTCGACGAAGAGCCTAGTGACTGCGAGGTTCAGGTCCCGCACTGTCCGGCCCCCCAACCTCTGGTCATCAAGCCGTCTGGGTCGTTGGACCTCGAGTTTGTCAGCCACTCCACGGCTTTGAGTCCCAAGGAAATCCTGCACAAGACGAGTCAAGTTGATTCTTCAGGGGCAGAAAAAGCCGTACATTGCATGGCAAAGACGCCACATGTACGTCATCGGGAGAATAACCAGAAAACGAAGCCGGATCGTGTTCGAGAGGCATCGGCCTTACAGCGATCAGAGATGACATTGGCGTCCATGGCTTTCCTTCCGGAAAACCCGTCAGAGGAGCAGTGCAATCCTCTCAAACGGGAGACGGATGGCGCTGTGGCTAGCGAACGTAACGACAAGACAGACTCAATGAGCACCGAGCCAGTCATCGTCGTTAAGAAGATCACACTCCATGAACTCGGTCAGGGACTGCCTACCAGTGCGAGCGAGTTGATCAAGCCCTCTGACGGGCTTTTAGATGGTCTCGCGGGGGAATTGCAAGCTGTGCCCGTTGAGTCCAAAGACGACAAAACAGCCACAACATCAAATCCAATAGATCGGCTTAACGTTGCCGCTTCTACTGCTTCGCTTCCCACTGGCACTGCGGAAGAGGATACAGCTGGTGTTCTCACACCAATCGGGGCAGACAGACCAACGGATCACCACTGGGAATATAGCATTGACACAAAGACAGGGCAAGTGTGCTTCGAGAGAGTCCCGGGCCCACCCAAACCTTGGGTTATCTCCAAGGAGCCCGTATTAAACATGACCGCTACCGGGCTGCCTGACCCTGGATCGAAAGACGCGCAGGCCTGGGATGAATACAACAAGAAGCTGAGAGAAAAGAAAGGGCTGGTCACTGTCCCGCATGCATCTCCACTTCGCATCACGGCTTCAACCCAACTTTCCAGAAAATCAAGCATCCATAAACAGCAGGGCCGATTGCGAACCACGCATCCTCGCCATCCGCCAAAGTGGCGTGCGGACGAAGAGACAGAACTCTTCCGTGGATTTATCGAGCCGGTGGAAACCTCGTCGAGCGCTGCCAACGTGACAATGTCTGACAACGGAAACTAGGAGAGCCAACCCTTCAGCAAGTCGCCGGGGCGCCCCGTGATGAGCACTTGAAGGCAGACCACAAGATCGGGATCACCGTCCTGATGCAGCTAAACGATTGAAAACGGGGATTGGGTATTTTGTACACCGCAAGAGAGGCAGATATGGGACAGAGACGCAAATATTGTTTGCTGAAGACGGGAATGACACACCACACATGCACGACTATTGCTTTCAAAGGGAAATGCTGCGACCGTCGCGTTGTAGATTAGTTGAGTCAGAAGACTAGACGTTTCAAGATTATACGATTAGCTGCAACGCCAGGTGCAAAGTCCAAGCAACGAAAACAAACATTGGCTTGAAAGAAAAGCAACGGAAGCCACCGACAACGTCCCTGTTGTTTGGCTTGCCCCAAGAAGCTCTGGCCCCCTTGCGATGAGACTGCCTATTTTCCTGTGCTGGAGCGACTGCTTTTCCCGTGGTAATACAATGTACTTTGATGTCGTCGTCGCTGCTATCATTGTTATTGCTGCTGCTGCTGCTGCTGCTGTTGTTGCTGTCGTCGTCGCCGCTATCATGATCATTGCTACCACTTATTTCTACTACTCTATTTGATAGGGGTGATTAACTACACAGGAAACATAAATAAAGCTGCGCAGACAAAGGAGAATTAGGCCGTCCCTTGCAATTACTATGTAGTGGCCCACACATTTGGAGGTTCACCTCAGTGTACCTTAGGTAGCTGTACATAACCGGGCCTTGTGAAGTTAGCAGCTGTGGCCAACGTCCAATGAGCAAATAGTGTGTGGAGACCCCTGGAACACGCTCCCACGCCGCGACCTCGCAAACCAACGCGCGCTGAAGTCAGCCTCATGTGAAGTGAACTTTCTCTCCCATGTCGCCCAGGGTCTCTGCTAAGAATCCGTCTCCAAAGCCTCTTCTGCCCGCTATCTCGGAAGTTTCTGCGCACCGCCATTTCCATCAAGGGACATTTATTTCTGGACACTGCTGCGCTTCCTTGCCCCGGCGACACCGACCGTCGCAGCTGCCGCACTTACAGCTCCCTGCCTTTCGACCTAATCGCAACGCCTTCGTTTTGCGACAGCCACTCAACCCCCGCGACTAGAACACCCAACCGCGGATTCTCCCCCGGAAATTTCACAATGGCCAAGGTTGCAACCGAATTCGAGAAGATTATCCAGGAAGGTAGATATGTCCTTTCCCCCTTTCTTCTGAAGTACAATGTTGCCGGCTAGGAACAGCCGCTAACCGACGTCTTTCTTGGGATGCGCAGGACGAGAGAGGAAGAAGAACGAGGCGCTGGCCCAGAAGATCTTTTCGAAGGATAGACGACAAAGCGCCCCGTCGAAGCTCAAGCCTGGCGCAGGTCCTTCGCTGGCTAGCAGAGTTGGTGTCAAGAAGGTATAGCCGCCGCCCGTTTGCTCGAGTCGAGTCGACAGAAGCACGCAAGCTGACAGCGCTTGATACAGCAGCGTACCGCCTCCCTCGGTCCCAAGGCCGTTCCCGCTGGTAATATCGACGGCGACTGGACGCATGATCTCCATGGCACAGTGAGCGGCGGACGGAACGGCGCCGGAGCTGGTGGCCTTGCGTCTCGCATCTCGGCGCCTGGAGGCAAGCCCTCCGCGGCCACGATGAGCAGACGAAATGAGCGACGGAACGAACAGAGGGCCGCGAGGGTTGCGAATGCGATTGAGCGCTCCGATGCCATGGCCGACGTGCAAATGACACCCGCTTCCGCAGCGAGACCAGGTCTTTCTATTCGGGGTCTCGCGGGTCCCTTTGCCGTCATGGCACAGAACTTCGCGCCCGGCACCACGGCCGCTGACATCGAGAGCGCGATGACACCCGTAGGCGGTGAGATGCTTAGTTGCCGGATTCTCAAGACGATGCCGTTGCTCGTGGCGGAAATGGTCTTCGCTACCAAGGAGGGCGGCGATGCTGTGATCTCTACGTTCAACAACCAGACCGTGAGTATTAGGATGTTCGGGAGTCGAACTGCTCGCTGACATTCTCAGGCCGACGGGCGTGTTATCAAGGTGTACCCCAAGCCCGGCGGTTACAAGGACACCACTGCGCCAGCAAGCACTAACGTATCCCGCAATGCTCGCCCTACATCGAGCAATGTCATTGACGGATCTAACGGCTTCCCTGAGCCTGTCCAGGCCGACAACACCGGAGGCAACGGCCTCTACAGTGATAAGATGGTTGGTAGAGGCAACGGCGGCGGCGGCGGCGGTAACCGCAGAGGACACGGTTGGAACCGCGGCGGACGGCGGTAAACAGTCATAGCAACACTGAATCAGAAACCGGGATGCTTGTCTTTGGCGTTGGTAAAGAGCGGTTGGAAGGTCGAATACCAAAGCGACTCATGTTTATGCTTTTCCCTGTTGCAGCGAATATTCGGGGATTTCTTTTCTTCCTTTTTCTCTTCTCTCTTCTCTCACGGATTGCGAGAGGTTAGTATCACTTGCTCAGCAGCACATGTAACAGTAGAAAACGTTCTTATCGCTTCTTGGCATCAAGTCGTCATTTCGGTTTCACCCTTTCCTCAATATGGCCTCTTGGACCTCGCCGCGTTTTGTACCACTTGGAAGAGAAATGCACTTAAAAAGCAGTGTCCAGCTAGAAATGGGTATATTTTGGAGATGATAATAGTTTTGAGGCGCCTTTCCTATGATACAGCCCTGTCGCTTCGTCACCGTTTTTGCACATCAAGTTATATGCTGGTGGACACAGCAGGCTGGGAGTCCTGCTGTTGGGGGTCAGTCAGTTCGACCACGAAACGGTTGATGGCATTTCGCTTCTTCTTAAGATCTTCAAGCTGATCTCCTTGCTCGAGAAGCTGCCTCCTTTCGATCCTGTCGACCGTAGCGATGAGGCTGCGAGCAAGATCAAGGACGAGTTTCGCAAACTCGATGCGGCGTTCGCCCCCTCTCTCGGCGGACGGCTTGGCTTTGGCCTTGGATTTGGCACTTGGTCTTGCCGCTGCCAGCACACCTTGCTTGGCCGTGCACATAGGGCCATATAACTTTTCGACGGCCGAAGCCAGCTGCTTGCCGTAGCCCCGATCCGCACCCTCATGGTTGCCAGACTTGGCCATCTGGCGGAAGGCATGGTCTGCTGCCACAGCGACTCGGTGGTAGAGAACTAGCGCGAGGATGTCGATGCGTGGGGGAAACCGCCTATCGTTCTTCAGAGATTCTGCACGCAACATCGTGTTGTCGATGATGCCGGTGGCATTGGTGAAGGCATTGGGGTTCATATTATCACGGAGGCACGCTTGTAGGGCCTGGTGTACTAGAGATGATGTGAATTGGGCCTGGGGCATCTCTGAGAGGATGTTCATGGCGAGGGCGCTGGCTCCACGGCGCTCAAGTTGCGACATGTATAGTTGGAAGTTGCCGGCGTCGGGCTTTAGGCCGTAGTGAAGGACGAAAAGATTCCAGTAATCGGTGGCTAATCGGGGCTGTCTTTGGGTGGCTCTGGATGAAATGAGGAGGGAGAGTGTCTTTGGACCTGGAACCGCGAGGTTGACGCCATCGCGATTTTGGTCATTCTGAGATCGCTTGTTGCTGACGGCAGCGATACCTCTAATGACATTATCCTCGTTGATCACACCTCCCCAGTCCCTTTTGACTTTGGCGTCCTCAAAGTTGGGTATGCCCATGGTGTCCTGCAAATGCTGCATCAACTCCTTTTCTGGCAGTATGCGCCCCATGGCCAGGACCAACTCCTCGTCCATGGTAAGCTTTCCGGCTCGCCACTCGCGCATTACCTCTTCCCAGATGCGCTTGCACTGATCAACAACCTTTAGCGTCTCGCTCTGTTGTGTGCCCGCTGGCTCCCTGGTACCTCCGATATCATGGCTAGACTTGGACATGATACTGAAGCGCAAGCTATTGAGAATGGTCGTGTATGTTCGTGCGTCTGCTCCGCGACCGGCCTTCGGGTCCGCCGAATCCAAGATGGCGAACATGGAATCAATGTCCTTCCCGCGGCCGCATGCTTGGAGGACAGCGTTGAGGTGTATTTGGTTCGCCTTGACTCTTGTATCTTGCAATAGAGTACGGTACAGCTGGACCGCCCGCTTGACACCGGCCTCGGGTTGAGGGACGTGGGCAAAACCGCGGAACATGATAGTGTAAGTCTGCTCGTTGGGTTTCTGCCCGCGCTTCTTCATGTCGTTGAAGAGCTTCCATGCGTTGGCCGGGCTTTTTCGGGTGACGAGCTCGTAGTCGAGAACGTGGTTCCAGGCAACAGCACAATCGTCTTTCTTGCTGGCTTCTTTCACCAGGAGGACGGCCTCCTCGTGACGGTCCGTTTTAAGCATCGCTTGGACTTGCTGGGCAATCTTCCAGCGGTCCTCCGAGTACTCGAGTTCTTTCTCAACAACCCGCTTGATCCTTCTTTCTCTTTGAGTTTTCGCTGGCACCTCTTGTTCTTGGGGTGCTGCGTTCATTTTCCGCATGAACTTCTCCTGTGTAATTGCATCGGCATGGCTTAGTCGGATCAGCGGCAGGCCATATTGAGAGACGCGAGGCGTCCCGGCGAACAAAGCTACTGCCTTGATGGGCTTGGTGGACCTCCTGAGACACGCCGTACAGGCCAACATGCTGGGTATCGATTCTGATTTTGCACGCCCGGAGAAACTCCTAATCGTGCTGGTAGATGCGCCGTTACTTGGAAATTTTGCAGTGACTGAAGCTGCTGAGAATGAAGCTGCCGCCTTATCTTATCGGACGTTAGTGAAATATCGGTTTCCGTATCCGTACTCTGTATCCGTACAACGGCATGCATGCTTAGCGTGTCACGCAGGCCACTGACGTTTGAGCCGCGGGGCCAGGCCTCTTGCATGCCCCATATGCTTGTAGTGGACCAATTGGCCCAGTTCAATTAAGCAGAACGCGTCGCAAACACGGACGCGACTTTTCTCAACACGCGCCGCCCCTTGCAACGGGCCAAATTATAGTGCCTAGAACCCCGTCCTTTGCGATTTCCGCTCACAACATGCCTGTTTCCACCCTCTGATAGCCACGCCGAACCGCCAACAACTCACTTTGCCCGCAGTCTCGATTTTGTTCGCGAAACCATGAACTAGACACCTCTTCTACACACTTTCGCTCTCTGATTGACATCCTACAAAGAAAACAACCCATCATGCCGAAAGCCGACAGGCGCTCGAAGCTCGCCGAGCTTCGGGCTCTCCGACAGTCTGGCAAGAAGGGTAACTACGAAGTCGAGGACGTTTCCGAACTGTACGAGGAGGTCGACGAGAATCAATACAAAAAGATCATTAGGACCCGTCTGGACCAGGACGACTTCGTTGTCGACGACAATGGCGAAGGCTACGCTGACGACGGCCGAGAGGAGTGGGATCGTGCCCCTCAGTATTATTCGGACAGCGACGAGGACGTGACTGTACAAGGACGCGGCAGGCCTAGCAAAGCACGTAAGAAAGCCTGACCATACCCATCATTCGAGTCTGGACAACAGCTAAAAGCAAGTAGTAAAGAAGCAGCGCGAGGACGAGGCAGCCAAGCGAGACGCAAACGATCGAGACATTAGCGAGTATTTTACAAAGGGTGCTGTCAAGACACAAGCAAAGCCAAAGGTTTGCATTAAAGAAACTGTGAGACGAACTCTATGGTAACCAGGTCAAACAGGTAGCGAAGACAAAAGAAGATGACGCCTTCCTTGCCGACCTACTTGGTGAAGTGGACGCCAATGTCCCCGCCCCCGTCCCAAGGTCTGGGGGCAAACGCAACAGATCCCCAGAACGGCGGAGAGCCCGCGTGCTCTCTCCCGCGCCAGAGACCAGACGGCCCTTGACCAAGAGACCCAAGACCGTAGACGACCGACTTTCTTCTCCCACCGTTGACGACTCGGTGCTTGACGATGGCTACATGCCGCCTATGGGCGACGATGGAGAGGACAGTCCGATCGTGGAGGCTGCTGATATTCCCATGTCTGACCCGGCACCATCATCGCCTGCGGCAAAGGTAGCTCAGCGAAAGGCCCAGATTAAGGCAGAGCCAAAAGACGATGACGATGACGACATGATGGAGGTCGCACACGCCGGTACCATCACCACTGCCAGCGTCAACATCGCCGGATCGAGACCTCCGAAGAAGCTGATCAAGCCGGAGCCGTATCCTTCGCCCCTGAACTCGTCCCCTGCTAACGCAGCCGAGCCCATGGTGGACTCGTCAGCTTGGAACTCTATTACTGACCAGCTCAACGTCGTCAGCAGCTCACCTACGCAGGCGAGAACTGTTGGTAAGATCGACTACAAGGATGCTGTCGAACCGGATGGCAGTCTCAACATGTTCTGGACAGACTACACTGAGGTGAATGGCAGTCTCTGCCTCTTCGGTAAGGTCTTAAACAAGAAGACCGGGCTGTATGTCAGCTGTTTCGTAAAAGTCGACAACATCCTGCGCAAGCTGTACTTTCTGCCGCGCGAAACAAGAGTGCAAGGCGGCGAGGACACTGGGGAGGAGGTCGGGATGATGGACGTCTACTCTGAGATTGATGCCATGATGACCAAGATGAATGTTGGCATGTACAAGATCAAGGCTTGCAAGCGCAAGTATGCATTCGAACTGCCAGGAATCCCCAAAGAAGCACAGTATCTCAAATGCCTCTACCCGTATACAAGTAAGTCACCGGTATGAAGGCTTTGGCGAACGTTGACTGACCAGAAGAAAAAAAAAAGAGCCCGTGATCGATGGATCCGCTACTGGAGAGACCTTTTCGCGCGTTTTCGGCACCAACACCGCTTTATTCGAGCAATTCGTTCTATGGAAAAACATCATGGGACCATGCTGGCTCAAGATCAACGACGCCGACTTTGGCGCCCTCAAGAATGCCTCTCACTGCAAGCTTGAGGTCTTGGTCGAGCACCCAAATATGGTCGCCCCGCTGAGTGACTCCGATAACCTCGATACGCCTCCCCTGACATTGATGGCCTTGTCCTTACGTACCGCATTCAATGCTAAAGCCAACAAGCCCGAGATCCTCGCCATCAGCGCCAGGATTTACGAGAAGCTGTCCTTAAATGACACCACTCCCGCCGAAAAGCTTCCCTGCCGAACCTTCACACTTATTCGGCCGTACGGCACTTCGTTCCCCCTTGGGTTCGAGACAATGGCCAAAGAGCGCAAAAGAGGCCTTCTCAAGACGTTCCGTCAAGAATCTGAAATCCTTCAGTTTTTCCTAGCACAGCTCGATGTTGTTGATCCTGACGTTATCTTGGGACATCAATTAGAAGGCGTCGACTACAGTGTGCTACTCAACCGCCTACACGAGAAGAAGACGCACCAGTGGTCTCGCCTCGGTCGTCTCAAGCGGTCACAATGGCCAGCTTCTATGAACAAGGTCGGTGGCAATGTATTCGCTGAAAGGCAAATCATGTCTGGTCGTCTTCTCTGTGATCTCGCCAACGACGCCGGAAAATCTGCCATGTATAAGTGCCAGTCTTGGAGTTTGACAGAGATGTGTAGCCTCTACCTATCGGGCAACAACCGCCGTCAAGACATTGACAATGAGGCGGCTCTCAAGGGCTGGGCTACCCAAAACAAGGATGGCATGATGAACTACGTCACTCACATGGAGACCGACACACATTTCATCACTGCCCTTGCCCTCCAAGTCCAGCTTTTGCCTCTGACCAAAGTCCTCACCAACTTGGCTGGTAACTCCTGGGCGAGAACTCTCACAGGTACTCGTGCTGAGAGGAATGAGTACATTTTGCTGCATGAGTTTCACCGCAACAAGTACATCTGTCCCGACAAGCAAACTTTCCGGGGCAGAATGGCCCAAGAGGAGAATCAAGAAGAGGAAGGCGAAGGCAAGAAGAAGGACAAGTACAAGGGAGGTCTCGTCTTTGAGCCCGAAAAGGGTCTGTACGACAAGTTCGTTCTCGTCATGGACTTTAACTCCCTGTACCCCTCTATCATTCAGGAGTTCAACATCTGCTTCACGACTGTCGATAGATCAGCAATGGTAAGCTAATCACATCTTCTGGAAAGGCGACAATATCTAAACATTTCTTAGAACGAGGACGAGGACGCTGTGCCCGAGGTTCCCAAGGACCAGGACCAGGGCATTCTGCCCAGACTCATTGCCACTCTTGTCAGTCGAAGAAAACAAGTCAAGGCTCTCATGAAGGATAAGACCGCCACGACGGAGCAGCTTGCCACCTGGGATATTAAGCAGCTTGCGTTGAAGCTCACAGCCAACTCCATGTACGGATGCTTGGGCTACACCAAGTCTCGTTTCTACGCCCGTCCGCTCGCAGTCTTGACCACGTACAAGGGTCGTGAGATCTTGCGGAGCACCAAGGAGCTTGCTGAGAGTAAGGCACTTCAGGTGATCTACGGAGACACTGATTCCGTCATGATCAATGCCAACGTCGAAAATGTGGCGGACGCATTCAAGGTAGGCCAGGAGTTCAAGAAGGCAGTCAACGAGCGATACAGACTTCTTGAGATCGACATTGACAACGTCTTCCGCCGTATCTTGCTCCAGGCCAAGAAGAAGTACGCCGCCATCAATTTGGTTGAAAAAGACGGCAAGTTCATCGAAAAGATGGAGGTCAAGGGTCTAGACATGAAGCGTCGCGAGTACTGCACTTTGTCCAAGGAAATCTCCAGCAAGATTCTTAATGAGATTCTTTCCGGTGATGAGACAGAGGTGTCTATTTCCCGTATTCATGAGTACCTGAGAGAAATCTCTGGCAAGATGCGCGAGCACTCCGTCCCTCCCCAAAAGTACATCATCTTCACCCAACTCGGCAAAGCTCCTACCGAGTACCCCAACGCAGACTCGATGCCCCAGGTTCAGGTAGCGCTTCGGGAGATTGCTCGAGGAAAGACAGTTCGTCGTGGTGACGTTGTTTCGTACATCATCACCGGTGATCCTCAGAGTTCCGACCCTGCCCCGAAGAGAGCATACCTTCCCGCCGATGTCATGAAGGCCGACTCTGGCCTCTCGCCTGACGTCGAATGGTACATGGGCAAACAGATCTTCCCCCCTGTTGAGCGTCTATGTGCAAACATTGTGGGCACGTCAAGCTCTCAACTTGCAGAGTGCCTCGGGTTAGATATTCGCAGGTACAAGTCGGTGCAGGATGGTCATCAAAGCTCTAGCAACGACTTGGAGATCCATCCTCTTGAGTCGCAGATCCCCGACGACGTGCGGTTTGCCGAGTGTGCGCGTTTGTCTCTGCGCTGCCGCACCTGCAAAAAATCGTCTGTATTTGAGGGTCTCCTCGCCCAGCCTGATCGTGTGTCGGCTTCGGGTGTGCTCTGCGGTTCGTGCAACGCAACCATTTCGATTATGTCTATCGTGGCCCAAGTCGAACATGCTCTTCGCACGCAGACTGCTCGCTACTACGAGGGCTGGCTCGTGTGCGATGACACGGCCTGTGGCATCCGCACTCGTCAGATGAATGTTTACGGCACCCGCTGTCTGGGACCCAAAGGCCTTGCGCGGGACTGTCTCGGCCGCATGCGCTACGAGTTCACCGAGAAGGCAATTTACAACCAACTGGTGTACTTTGCCAGCCTGTGGGACGTCGAAAAGGCTAAGACCAAGGCCTCGGCTGAGAAT